AGAGTATAAGTTTGTATAAAATTGTATAACTATGTATATTATTGTATACATATGTATAAACCCCGCAACATTGACAAAACTGCAACAATAACGAAAATACATACTTTGTTAAAGAAAAAAGTAACTGAAATATTCATTAAAATATAATTCATTCACAGCCATAATGTGTAATGACTACCACAAACTACACAAATAAAGCCATCTACATTAAAATGAAGAAAAAAAAAACATAACTACTTTCTCGGTCGTCCCATCTTCTTCTTCCTAAAAAGTCTCCCTGTGATTTCATCACCGCTAATTGCACCGGACTGTTATTTTTTCCGTCCATAATCCCACAACGGAGATCCCCACCTGGTGCGAAGTGTCTCAATGTCAAAATTATTTTTTCGGATTTCCTTACCCAAGATGAAATACTCAACAAAGCCAGCAACAAAAGCACCACAATCACTGTAATTTAAAAAATCAGATTCTCTGTACGTTACTGTAAATAGGTACACAAATAGTAAAATAGTAAAACAACTAAGATTAACCTACCATTTGATCTGTTGTGGCACATTATTAACCAGATTAATCTACAAAGCATCAGAATGAGATTTATCGGTATATGCACCATTGTTCCAATCAATGTCCTTCTTCTCGACATAAAAATCAGAACTCTTCAAGAAGCAAGGTATCAAAATTGCATAAGGTAATGCAACATCCAAAGCAAGTCTATCATTAATAGCTCTACGGTTAGAGTCATAGATGTGGATGCACCTATCTATGAACGTAAACAACCCCAAAACCCAGTGGCCCAATTTAGCTCTTCCACGCTTCACATAAATAGGGAATAACACGTGGTCAACAGTGTGCCACGCTACATTTGCATCACAATAAGAGCCTCTAATGTACTCTTCTATTTCATGCCCTTCAGGAATCACAGAATGATCTTGCTTCACTTTAAAATCTTTATACAATGAATTGATCTTGTTACCAAAGGCAAAGTCGGTTGTAGTAAACCTTACGACAACATTCAGCCCATATTTATCCCTCTTCCTCAAATAGTAAAAGATGACATCCAAGTGATGAGACAAGAAAAATAAAATAAAAACAACCATCACTACTAAATGATTCAAAGTACTACAAAAAAAATCAATATATGATGCAGATTTTTTAAATATACAAATTTATACACTAATATACAGAGTTATACATATTTATACAAGGTTATACAAGCTTATACCATGATTATACAAAACTCTTGCATTTGATTATACAAAGTTATGTGTACACTATGGGAGGTCTCAAACAATAAAGATACGCAACACAAAAAGGCATTAGGACAGAAAGTTACTAAATACCGTGTCAATCAAAGGTCGACCGCAATACGCAAGCGAGTGGAACCAATCATTCGTGGTCACATGAACCAATTTTCCCAAATTGGAACAAAACTCAAAAAATAAATTATACCCTAAAAGTCGAAATAATAAAGCATGCAAACTGAAACACCAAGTTTAGACCCAGAACAAAGATAGAAGGAACACAAAATCGAAAGGAAAACACAACAACATTGTAAAACAAAAATATTCAAAATCAGAAAAGCCAAAAAATTAAAAATAAAACAAAATTTAAAACCAAAACAGTGGTAAAAGCATAAAATGAAATGAAAATTACCTGAAAATAAGAATGAAAGCTTGAAAAATCACTTGAGACGCAACAATGGAGGACGGTTGCCTTCGTACTTTTGTGAAAAAAGCGTGAGAAGAACAAAGAGAGAGAGAAAAATTTAAAAAGAAAACTAAAATACCGTTAGTAATATTTATGGGCTACCGAGTGAAAACAAAATTTCAAAACATATACAACCTGGGCCAAACCAGGTTAGGGCTTCAAATGTGGGCTATTTTCGAATGAGTTATATAGCCCAAGTGATATATGATGTAATTTTATCTATTTTTGTTTAATACACCAAACCAAACCGTGAATAAAAAATAATATCAGTATAAATAATTCCAACATTAATGATACATCTAATTATTATTCTTATGCAATCTACCAAACCACCCCATAGTATGTGGTCGTATTTAAAAAAAATTATTTTCAATATTTTGACCTTTTCTCCATTAATTTAATCATAGAAAGCGGGAAAATTAAATTAAAAGAAAACGTGAAATGCATGTACGGCCACATTGCTGAACCTTTCTCCTGATTTTGTTAGGCCAAATGTCAAAATCCAACTTGCACCCGAGTTAGGCAAGTACCAACATAAAATAATGGCTACTCACTCTTCTTCTTTGTATGTATGTATGAGTAGCAGAAAACCCAATGCCACTATGCTAACAGTTCTCTCAGCCAGAGCTGGTGGTGCTCCGCCACCAACACTTTTCTTTGGAATTGGACCCAAAAGAAAATGTTGGAGTTTTAAGTCTTTTAGAATATGGGCTGGTGAATTTCCAGATTTTCTTCCTAAACAAGTGGAGAATATTAAAGATCCTTTTGCTAGAAAATTGGCTTCAAGAATTGAAAGATTACCAGTATGTTTTTCCCTCTTTTTATTAGCTTCAAAATGTGCTATTTTCTTTAATGGTTTCTGTATCTTTTTTCTCTGTGTTTACACTTTCAATGTTGCATGAAGCATTGGGAATCACCTGGGGCAAAATCTGTACTTTTTGTGAAATGGGTTCTGTTTTGATGTGTAAAATTTTGTTGCTTTGGAAAAATACTAACACATAGGTAGCAAATTTTGTGTTTTAGAACCTAAAATCAGTAGTACAAGAACAAGAATTGCACCATGCATGCAGGTTTTTATGGTAGCTAGACAGGCTATTTTGATGTTTTTATGACAATAGTGCTCGAGCCAGCTTGCGTCTACCTCGACTATTCTAGTTTGCTGTTACCTCCCACTAGTATCGAGTAAATCTGTCCACCAAGGATTAGACTTAAGGGCTATTTGATATCTCTATTTGGGGATGTTAGATTAGGATTAGATAACAAAGTACAAGGATAAATCTTTTTTTTTTTAAATATAAGTTTCTTCATAAGTAATGAATAATTGTTTACTCCCCCATCCAGATTTATATAAAGGTATTGATTGGACCTGAAATTTGTAAGAAAAAATTAAAGTAATGGTTGAAAAATTATTTTTTTTTTGTAGAGGAAACATTAAATCCAAGTCTGAAGTTTGAATAGTTTGATAAACTTTATTTCTTGAAAGTTGTGAAAATTTTACAGAAATGATAATAGTGTCAAAAACTTTTGGAATATCCTAAATGGGAAGGAGTTATCATATATTCGGAAGGAAGGAGGGAGTATTTTCTATTTAGTCATGGTTGTTTAGGAATAATCCAGGATTTTTAAAACAGATAGTGAATACTATTGCACATACTACCAGAGGTGAATCCAGAATTTAAATTTTATGGGTTCAACCTTTAAGATTTTTAGCATTGAACCCATTATATTTTTAAAGTTATGAGTTCATATTTACTATTTGTTGCAATTTTCATAGATTTTTATAGATAAATTTATGCCCCGCATTGAAAGTTATGGGTTCAGTTGAACCCGTCACCTTAATGCTTCATACACCCCTGCATACTACCTTGTGACAATGCGTGCAGACTTAATATAAATATATATATTTAAGATCTTTTCAGTAATCTTTTAAGTTGCATTCTCTTCCTTTATAAAGTTCTGATAACTCCCTTGACGGTTCAGCTTCATTGCTGGTTCATTTAGGTAAACTTGTCGAAGGGTTGTGTAATGAGTAGTTGCGTGAAGCCAAAAGAACAGACAGAGGCCAATCCAATTGTGCTTCTCCATGGTTTTGATAGGTATACCTCATGCTAAGGTAATAGTTTTGACGGCTTTCTATTGCTGTGCTCCTGTTGTTCATTAAACCTCATTATTCAGCACATGTTTAGAGTGGAGGTACACACTTCCATTGCTTGAGGAGGCTGGGTTGGAGACATGGGCAGTTGATATCCTTGGATGGGGCTTCTCTGATTTAGGTACATTGTCTTGTCCTAGTTCTTTCCCGATTTTTCATTTTTTCAGTAAGAGTTTGCAAACAAAGACTGAAGACTTGCTCATGGTTTCATCTCTTTCTGTTTCCTTGTGATTTTAAAGAAAGGCTTCCATCGTGTGATGTAGCTTCCAAGCGTGATCATCTGTACCAGGTACCTACTGATTTTATGAATTATATGTCTTAATCTAGAGGAGCCGTGGAAGCAGCCACTAATGCTTGCATTAGGGTAAATTGTCTACAACTCTACATCACACCCCTTGGGGTGCGGCCCTTCCCCGCACCCTGCATGAACGCGGGATGCATTGTGCACCCGGTTGCCCTTTTAATCTAGTGCACACAAACTTCAAATGTTGGAATTAGTCTCTTTTATTAGACAAAAAGAAAAGTCTCTTTTATTAGACACTCTAATAAATGTGAAGTAGCATACCTAAGTACAAATTAAGTAGCATATCGAAGTACAAAATTAAGTTAAAAAGTCACATTCAATATTTTCTGGTAGCTTACTATAATACTTGCTATGCAAGGGTGCATACCACAGTTGTCCCCATTGTGCGGTGGTATAATATCACAGTTATGCAGCATTACGGGGGTACCTTTTCTTACTCGGCACAGCCCTACACTAGGAAATTATGGAAGTAGTATTTACTTGTCTTAGTTTATCTGTAGAAACCACTAAATGGTTAATAAGGCTCAGAAAGGTCTCCCTGCTGTAAGGCCATGTTGAAAAATTAGTCTGATATTATATTTTTGAAGGAATTTTCCATTTACTTGTTTTGAATATCTTCAGTCTTGTTTTTCTTTCAGTTGTGGTGTACCTACATCAAGAGGCCAATGGTACTTGTCGGGCCGAGTCTTGGATCTGCTGTTGCTATTGACTTCTCTGTCAACTATCCAGAAGCAGTAATTACATTAAATAACTGTGAATCCCTTATACAAATTTTATAGATTATTTTCTAGTATTAAGGAGGTATCATTTTATGGCTTCCTCTGAAGTAGCTTTTACTTTTATAGGTGGATAGGCTGGTTTTAATCGATGCATGTGTTTATGCGGAAGGTACAGGAAGCCTCGCAACCTTACCAAAAGCATTAGCTTATGCTGGGGTGAGTTCCCTCCAAGTCCTCTTAAAATAAAGGGATACAGTATACTCCTATTTTGACCATTTGAGGTAAATACAACAACAACAAACCCAGTGGAATCTCACAAGTGGGGTCTGGGCAGGGTAATGTGTACGCAAACCTTACCTCTACCTCATGAAGGTGGAAAGGCTGTTTCCGATAGACCCTCGGCTCAAGAACAGTAAAAGGAAGCAGCAGCAACAACAACAACCCAGTATAATCCCACTAGTGGGGTCTGGGGAGGATAGTGTGTACGCAGACCTTACCACTACCCTGGGTTAGAGAGACTATTTCCGATAGACCCTCGGCTCCCTCCCTCCAAGAACTCCCCACCTTGCTCTTGGGGTGACTCGAACTCACAACCTCTTGGTTGGAAGTGGAGGGTGCTCACCACTAGAGTAAAAGGAAGCAATAAGCAATTAATAGCAACAACAAGGTAAAAGGCAGCGGAGACCGTTTGATGTAAATGAACATCTATATCATAATTGTGGTTTCACCAAGGACGTGATTTATGATAAGCTCGAAAGAAAAGGAGAATCGTAAATGATGATTGAATCAACTTAACTAATCCAAAGATTAGCACCCATTGTATAGTAACACTCTTTGTTCGTCAGATCTTTTCCTTGAAGCTGCAAAACCCAAATAACTCGTACTAGATACATCAGATATCAAGTTATCATTCAGTCTGTTACTGGAAAGATTCTGATCCAAATCATGGATCTAACATGTATCCAAATATGTTTACAGCATTCTTCGAGTATCTTCCATCTATATTTCTTATTGTTTTCACTATCTTGACAACTAACTTGTTGCAGGTCTACTTATTGAAAAGCATACCACTTCGTTTATACGCAACATCATTGACTTTCAATGGCTTACCATTAAGTACCTGCATAGACTGGACACATGTAAGTTTCGACCCTCTGATCTTTAGGAAACCTGAAAGTCGTGGAGCTCAGATGTCCGAAATGGGCGTCTGCACTACTTGTCTTATCAGACCTTTTAATTACATGGTTTTCTATCCAGATAGGTCGTCTACATTGTTTATTACCTTGGTGGGAGGATATAACAGTGAATTTCATGATCAGCGGAGGTTACAACGTCATTGATCAGATACAACATGTATGTGGAAATTTACTAAATAATCTTAAGTTTTTCCTATATAGACATGCCTATTGGCACCTTTTATACTTTCTTTTCTCATGACTATGGTATCGAGCAACATGTTCTTGCTGTAAAAGATGTTGTGGGACTAGCCGTAAAAAATGTAATCTTACTGTTCATTTATGCAATGTTGGGTTTATATACAGAAACTCCTGCCAAATGATTAATTTCGAAAGTCTGTTTTAGCAAGTAAAATTCTTGTGTATTCTGGACTGCAAACACCTATGAACTTCTCTTGAAATTCCGAACTTATTAGTTGTAGACATCACCAATATTATTGGTTTGGTAATAAATTAGACTAGAGTTACCGTTGATCTCCAGGGCCCTCATGTTTTTTTGTCGGACCATTCTACTAAAATTGTGGCTGATTGGATCCACACCTGCTTCTGCTTCTATAGCACTGAGAGTGTTTCTTCTAGCTGTAGCTCCATTTCCTATGTTGTCTACTGGTTTTCTTCTCATTCCTGTGGAAAATTCTACAGTATTCTCATGCTAGGAGTTCTATTATACAGGTCAAGCAGAAAGCACTAATAATATGGGGTGAAGATGATCAGATTATTGACTACAAGTTCGCAGTGGTATGTTTCTTTCAAATTCTGGAAATATATAAACCTGGTAACTCCTATCATCCAAATACACATATGTAGAGTCACTGAATTGTCCGTTGACTTTTATGTGCACAGAGATTGCACTCTGAACTTCCAAATGCGATTCTACGCCTAATACCAAAGTGTGGCCATATCCCTCACGTGGAGAAGCCTGATGCTGTCTCCAGGTTGATTGTGGAATTTGTTCACTCTGATCAATCACAAAAGGCAAAGTCTGACTCTGTCTCCACCATCTCTGTTCCTGTTTGGTTAATGATACTTGTACAAGCAGATAGTTAGCATATATCTAATTTGGGGATCTGACTTGTTGATTCTACGTAGTGATGAGGTTAGTTTTCCAGCTTCAATGGTGAACTATGCTTTCTTTCTTTATGCAACATCAACCTTATTATCTATATATTGAAGGCGCTTTGGTATCCAGTACAGAAGCGAAATAAACTGAATACTTAACCAGTGTAATTAGCTGAATTAGCAGCATTGTGGTACATAATTCTTTTGGTTTCTCTTCAATGTAGAGCTGGAGTTTATGGCCGGTGAATCATAGCTTGTAGCGGTGCAAGCGTAGACGGCAGAGTTACCCGATACTTGTGTTGGTGGGAGGTAGGAGGTACCAGTGTGGAATGTTATAAGAAAAATAACTTGGAGCAGTGCTGAAATTTTGTTGTGCATATCTGGAATTATATCACTGTTATGTATTAATAACTCCTAGTAGTACTTTTATTTTTGTTATTATTTTATTTTGTATAATTTTGGCCTTGAGTTTGTAGTTGGCGCAAAAAAAATTATTTATAAAAAAGAAAGAAAGCGTGAATACATTAGCGTTCACACCTGGTTTCATGTAACTACTACAATAAGTTTTACTTCTATCAATATAAAATATATCTTAATATTACATTTATTAATATTCTTAATTCAGTCATGAATGTAGCACTATTTTTTCCTGTGTAAAAAAAAAAAAAAAAAAAAA